AGTGTGGTGGTGGGGCTAGTGGGGAGTGTGGAGCAGACGAGGGAGTTGCAGAGAGAGCAGTCCCTCCGGAAGGCAAATAAGTGTGGGGAGGGAAATTTATCCTTCATAGTGGGGTCAGATTATTTTAATCCCATTTTCCAGCAATTAGTTCATACCATTTTAAGTTATGGCTTTTCAAATGCTCATTTAAACAATTCTTGAATATTGTGAGAGTTCCTGACTCTACCATCCTTTCAGGCAGTGAGTTTCAGCCTCTGTGTGAGAAAGAAAATCCTCAAATTCCCTCTAAACCTCCTGCCCCTTAACTTAAATCTATGCCCTTGGTTATTGACCCCTTTACTAAGGAGAAAAGTTTATTCCTTTCTACGTTTCTTGATATTGTCCACCTCAAATAGGAACCATTCAGCCTGGTCTGCTCGAGGGAAACAACCCTAGCCTACTTAGTCTCCTTTCCTCGCTCCAAATGCTCCAAACCAGGCAACATCCTAGTGATTCTCCTCTGTACCCTTTCCAGTGCGATCACGTCCTTTCTATAGTGTGGTGACCACAATATTTCAGTTGTAGCTTAACAACCATTTTCTACAGCTACATCATAATTTCTCTGCTCTTGTATTCAATGTTTTGACTAATAAAGGAAAATATCCCATAAAGCTTAATTGTCTTATCCACCTGCCCTCAAGGTCCTTCAAGGTTCTAACATTCATTGCATATTCCCCTGACTTAACCATGATTAAATTCCATTCACCCCTCTTCTGCCTGTCTGACCAGCCCGTTTATATTGACCAGTTGGCTAAGGCTTTCCTCACTATCGATTTTTATGTCATCTGCAAACTTACTGACCATACCTTTTTCATTCTTGTGTGGATCATAATGTACAATAACTGGCAAGGGACCCTGCAATACACTTGTGGACCCAGGATTCCAGTAACAAAAACAATCTTTGACCATCACACTCTGTCATCGGCCACTAAGTCAACTTTAGATCCAATTTGGCAAAAAGGTGACATTGTGCTGAACCTCTTCAACTCTGTGTGAATTTAGGCTTCCTGTGGAGACCTAAATGATTGTTATCTCACAAGGTTCTTCAAATGAGGCCATATGGATAGCAATTAAAAACGAAAACGGAGCAATCATATTTGCTGGGAATATACTCTAGTGCCACATATAATCAAGGAGAGATTGGAAGCAATCACTGGGGCAAATCTATCTCATAGGGATTTGACGGTCTCTTATGTGAAGCAAAGTCTGCAGCGACTCTAGTGCTCCTCCATCTAACAATATGACAATCACACCCTGTAGAAGCGGTTGGGAGGGCATGACCTTCGTCAGAGTGAATGCTCTGCTTTTCATCCTCAGTCTCTCACTCCTCAGCAGCTGGATCTTCCTCCAAATCATATCATTCCTGCCCCTACACAGTTGGCCGCCTTCTCTTCCTCACCTGAGGAGGAACTTATCAAGGAATATACAATGCCAATAAGCAGATCAGATTCCTCGGTACCACTGGTGTAGTCAAGGGCCATGACTGGATTAACGACTTATTGGATACGCCAATGAGGATAGCCCTGATACTTAGAGCTTTATGAACACCAATTAACTCTGAAAGAATAACTGTCCATGGTATCTCTTACATAAATCCACCTCCTGGCTTTATATTCACTTTGAGACTCTGAGAAACATTCCCAATGGGAGTGAGACCTGTTTTAAGGAAGGATTACTCGACCCGAAATGTTAACTCTGATTTCTCTCCACAGATGCTGCCAGACCTGCTGAGCTTTTCCAGCAATTTCAGTTTTTACTCCCAATGGGCATATTTTAAGTACATTAAAGCTTTGGTCACGTATTCTTGCAATCAACTTGACTGCCAATTAGTTTAAACAGTCCTTAAGTATTTATTTCAAGATGGCTTGCAGGCTGCTGATTTTGGAATCCTCAAACCCACTTTATTCTTGAAGAATGGCATGGTAACGGGTTCACAAATTAACATCTCCAAATTAAGCTTCCACAAAACTACAGTAGTCCAGTTTTCACAATGTAAAATTCAGCATTTTGTATCTCCAACTGAACACAGCATTGATAGGGGTATTTAGCACCTTTGGTATTCCAGCACCCTTGTGATAAAGATCAAGACTTTATGATTACTTTTTGTAATCCTGTGCAGCAGCTTTTAATGGCTTAGGTACAGGAGAAACAAAAACCCTTTGTTTCTCGGCCCCCTGCCTACTATGTGAAGTCTCTCAGCATTAATAAATTATTCAATAGTGATTTGTCAGATTCAAAGTGGATGACTTCAAACTTAAAAGCCCTTATATGTACACTAAATGCTAAGACTACCATTCCCTAAATTTGTGGACACAAGGGAAGATTGAAAGAGCTTCTTGCATGTGAACTCACAATGTCTACATGCTATATAAGTCACCAATTCACTAACCTGGAACTAGACAACAGATCTTCAACCTGAAATATTAATCCAATAAAATAATATTTGTTGTTTTGACCATGCAATCTTTTTTCTGTCCAATCTAACAGTTCTTCTTCTTGCCACTTGAAGGCCTGATTGAAGATATAGTTGGCTGATCTAACCTATTATCTCTCTCTAAAAAAGATGGTGGTTCTTTTTTCAGAGTCCTCAGGTTCTGGGATGAACATAGAGTAGACTAACAATTTATCAACAGGTTCCTTAGTATCATGATCCTGCAAATTTGAAGGCTTCTCAGATGATTGTACCTCTTCATTGCTGTCATGAGGGACACTGGTCAGCATGCACACCACTGCACTGGTACTGGGAATGGGATGTGGAATACCAGTGATCAATGGCAGAATCGAGCAGGTTGGAATCCTAACAATAATCCTTAAAAGTTGAATCAAGTGTTAAATGTATCTTTTGATTAGTCTATGATGCTATCCAGCACACTTGAAGCTGATCAGCATGAAATTCTCCACATGGTCCAGCAAGACAGGCAGTTCGTATTTCGGAGTGAGCCAGTGAACTTGTTGGTACTAGAGCCATTTGTCAATGTTCATTTTGCCAGGATTTGATATTAAGGCATTACTGCACTGAAAGTGTCAGTGGATTTATATTGATTGCTCCCCATGAATTACTGCTTTTGACTGCACATAAGTGTTTCCCCCAGGGAGGTAAATTCAGAAACTAGAATGTCACACAATGATCTCATCCACCTCCCACTTTGTGGCTCAAGATAAGCATTATGCTGGTTTACTCTAAAAGTCCTCACATCCTTCATTTTCACGATGCCTGGATCCAGAATGATGGCCTAACCCTTCTGGTCATGAGGACTCATTTGCCTTACTGCCCTGAATGCTCAATACTCATGTTCATCCATTGCTGTGAATCCATTCAGGACTCTATGTTCAGTAGTCCTAATTGTCTTCCTATCCTTTTATGTAATATCTGTGTAAGTTCCTTTCCTACCTTTAACTTTCCTCATAGTCTCGAGTCTTATCTCCCTCTTTGCATTTGCATAAATTTTCAATTCCCGGATACTCTAGTGCTCAGATCTGTTGGCAATCATTGCTCAAGGTTGTCAGTTCTGTCATGGGTCATCATGTGAGCAGGTTGATTCTTAACCCTCAGATCTTTGTGCACATAGGACAGGATATCCCATGAGGTAGCAGGATCCAGAGTATGGAATTTGATCGTATTGTTTTGCTTTGCCCCTCTGCCTCATTAATAAAGCATTTGGACTCAAAGTGTGATGCAACTTGATGGGTAAGTTCCCGCCATTTGGAGCACTTGGTAGCAAGCTCCTCCCAGTCATTAATGTCATGAAATGCTGCCATACTTCAAGGAGACTTTCAGAGTGTCTCCATTGTGCTTTCTTTGTCTTCACCTAAAATAGTGGTCACCTGAGAGATTAGAAAATAGGATGTAGTATGGAAGATGCTTTTCAGGCATCTGGACACAGTCCTGTTCATCGTAGTTGATTTTGAAAAATTTTGTTTAAAAGTTTTTACAGATGACTTCAAGGGTCATGAAAAATTTCTCTATCGCTGTTATGTTTCACTGTTACATAGTCTAGGTCTCACTGCAGTACAGAAGTGTGACAACAATTGCTCTGCATGCTAGGTTGAAAGTCCTAATTCTTTTCAGACAAACAGATTGGGAAAATGGCGTCAGCAGTGAGTTTCAGAATTATCAAGACACAACCATGCTTTTGTTTTTGGGAGTGGGGCATTACTTATTCTGATGAATCTTACTCTCAAGGCCAACTGGATCAATTTTTAAAGTCTCACACAACATTTCCCAACTGGTTAGTTATTCTGGATACACAATATAAAGTCCACAATACTTTCGCTATTTAAATGTTGAAATTGGTTGGGGGAATACACTGGAAGGACTGGCTTCAGTTGAGGGAAACACTGGATGATCTGGCTTCACCCGAGGCTGGTGGGAGAGTTGCAGAATTGGAGAAAATTCTGGAAGGTCTGGCTTCACCCCTGAAGCTGGACAAATGAGGAAAATGTTGAGAGGGAAACAAACCTAAGGAACTGCAGATGCACAAAATCAGAAATTGATAGATAAACTCAGCAAGTCTGGCAGCATCTGTGGAGAGAAAGCAGAGCTCACATTTCAGGTCCGCGAGATCACATTAAGTCTTGTTTTCGCTCCAAAAAACATGGGAAGACATCACACTGGCTCACACTTGAGGCTACAGAGTTGGAGAAAACACTGGAAAAGCTGGCTTCACGCC